CAGCCCCTACAAAGAGCAGCTGATGCTGACTGCTCTGCTGCGGTCATGATCACTTTTGCGATGCTTGCCTACTCCGCCAAGGCACGTTCAAGGTTGGAGGGTTTCCTCTACCGAAGCTAGACAGTACAACCTCAAAAAATACTTCGAAGGCACGTAGACAGTAGACAACGTAGACTATGAAACAGCGATCGTAGACGGACATCCAAAGCGGGCAATGCTATCTTCAAAGTCCTGCAAGTATCGCGCAAATTGCATGTTCTTGCAGCCACGCCGTGCTAGAATGGTAAACTGACACCAGCAGGGTTCTTCAAAGTGCGCCTTGAAGTTTGCAAGACAAATGCTGCTGTGTTACAGAGTGACTATGAATCCCAAAGCTTGCCAGTTCTTAGCGGGAAAAAGCGGGGGGGGGAATTATAATCCCTAAATAACCCCTGTATAATATAATAGATTCCCCTATTTCCTACTGGCATGCACCTCCTCCGCCACCGATGAATGGTGAGTTCTCCAAGATGACTCCTGGCTTACTTGGTTCTCAGTGCGGAACATATTGGGGCTGTATAGAGATAATGGAAAAGAAAATGGAAACTACCACAATATAGTCGTGCGCAAATATATATCTTTCTGTATATATATACATTATATTAGGGTTATTAGGGTTCTCAGTAGAGAATCAACGAGTATGTCACTAGGCTTAGGGTTTAGGATTAATGGGGAATAAGGGATTTGGGGGGTTATACAGGGTTAACTGAGAAGAACATGGAAACTACTACATGGATAGATGTTGGGGTTCTTAGTGGTCATCCCAAAAGCTGGGTTGCTGTGTAATTACTCAGGCAAATGTCACGAGTCTTTTGTCTCAACATGGATGCCTCGAAATAAAGGTGATGATGTTGGTGCGGACTTGTCACAATTACAGTACAAGCTTGGTAGGGTAAGGGGTCAGCTGCATCCCATAGTAGCAGTGAATGGGACAGAGTGGCAGTGGAGCGACTGTTTGTGGCTTCGGCATGGGCAAGGTGTGTGCCAAAGTACTTTGGCCGCTTGTATTGTAGACAGGCGCTGATGCTTGCTGAAAGATGTGCTTGTCTCGGTGTTCTTGGTACGGGTTCCGTGTTTCATGTTTGTTTTTGCCAAGGTTTGTGCTACGTGATGTTCGGTTTCCTATCTTGTTGCACATTGCATGTGGGGAACTGTCTTTACTCGTAGCATCAGGCCACGTGCAGATGAGAAGTCTGGTTTCACTCTGCGTGATGTAACCTTCAGAATGTCGGGCACGAGTCTATTAAAACCTGCTGGCAAGCATGCTGTCCCCTGTTCGCTTGTTGCTTAAAAAACCCCTCCGTTTTCCCTATCAAGGAGGGCCTGGTATGCAAGCATGCTATGAGACAATCAGCTTGAAGGACCAGAAAATCATTTTTCTCCATATTCTGGGTATGTAGTAGTGATTAATATGGTTCCCCCACAGCCCCTCAATCCAACAGAAAAACAGATGGAACATGAAATGGAAACTCCATGCTCTGCCTCGGATGGCACGCTGCCTCCTACTCGACAGGCTCAGAACCTCAGTGCATGCGATCGTTCATGTTCTGGGAACTTCCAGTCGGTATACGGGAAGCATGGGGCTGCGTCCAATCTCTGCGTCCTATCTGCTGCGCCCAGGAGATTGAAAATACGCTATCTTGGGGCCTGGAACTGCCATCTGTTCGGCAGTTTTTGAGGAGCCTTCTCCTCCTCCCGTACTGCGGACTTTGTTCAGCGTAATCTTCCCAAAGCTGGAGCCTAGACCCCTGCCTGCATGCAAGATTGCCTGCGCGTCACATTGCCTTCCAAAACCTGCACTGAGGCTCCCCATATCAACAAACCGACCTCATCTGATGTCAGTGTTGGCGCTACCGCTGCCGAAGCCCCTCCGGTCAGCTAAAAGTCCATAAGGAGACAGTTGCCGTTTCCAGTCCATGAGGGGCGGAACTGCTGTGCCAGCTGCAGGAAAGTGTGACTACCAAATCCTTCCTGGTTCCCATCTTGCTCTGACACAAGCTGAGCCGAACCTCAGATGACGCAAGCCTTGGAATCTAATGATGGCTTGCAAGATCAATGGGTTCCAGCGCTTTAAGAATACGAAGTTCGTCAGCCACATAGATTTTTAAATCTATTTCGGGGAGGGGCCTGCTGTGCATGCGGAGATTCACTTGCTGGTGGTAAGTAGAGAATAAGAATCCCTATATAGTATATCCCCTTTTCCCCTACTAACCCCCAGTAAATCCAAGCCTGGGGTAAGCCTGGGGTGGTGACTGGTCAGCTTCTGGATCCAGGTCTCTGCTGCTGGGAAGGTTTCCAGCCTCAGGTTATATAGGTATGTGGGGGTTAAATAGGGATTATTTGGGGCTATATTGGGATTATGTAGGGGTTATATTGGGATAATGGAAAATAAAATGGAAACTACTATTTAGGGTTTAGGGTTTAAGCAATTTGTTGGAAGAAGCCTGCGTGTGGGAAGCGAGATTGCAGGCCTCAGGGGCCCGACTCTATGTATAGGGATTATGCGGGGATTCTGGGGGCTCCCAATTTGGGACGGTACATGGATTGTAAATGTCTGAAGCAAGTTGAGTGGATTTGAAAACCTTGCTTAAAAATCCTTATCCCAAACGTACAGCGCTTGATTCCCCTGCGGCCGCCCTCTTCTAAACGCCTGCAGCATGAGCT